TTCAGCGTCGTCGTGTCCCCACAACGCCCCGCTATCCTGACAGTCAGGCCCACGATTCCACGCGTGGGAAGCCCGTTTCTCAAGCCCACGTTTCTCCTCCCTGCGCGCGCACCGTTCCGGTAAGCCCGCGCGGGAACCTCTCGCCACCCCGCGTGCGCTCTTCTCGCCTTCCGCGCGGTATCCCATCGCATCCCAGCGCGCGCTCCTCTTACCGCCCCGCTCGGCCTCCTCTCACCATCCCGCGCGTGCTCCTCTCGCCTCCCCTCGCGTGCTCCTCTCGCCTTCAATGCTCGCGAATCTCTTGCCTCCCCGCGCGGCCGCCTCTCGCCTCCCCGCGCAGCCTCCTCCCGCCATCCCTCGCGCGCCCCTCTCGCCTCCCCGCGCGTGCTCCTCTCTTCTCACCTACTCGTTCTCCTCTCGCCTCCCCTCGCGCGCCCCTCAAGCCTCCCCGCGCGTGCTCCTCTCTCCTCACCTACTCGTTCTCCTCTCGCCTCCCCTCGCGCGCCCTTCAAGCCCCCCCGCGCGTGCTCCTCTCTCCTCACCTACTCGTTCTCCTCTCGCCTCCCCTCGCGCGCCCCTCAAGCCTCCCCGCGCGTGCTCCTCTCTCCTCACCTACTCGTTCTCCTCTCTCTTCACCTTGCATGCCTCCCACGCCTCCCCGCGCGTGCTCCTCACTCCTCACCCTGCGTGCTCCTCTCGCCTCCCCGCGCGTGCCCCTCTCTCCTCACCTCCAATGCTCTTCGATCGCCAACCTTGCGCGTGCCCCTCTCTCCTCACCCTGCGTGGGCTCCCCTCTCCTCACCTTGCGTGCTCCCCTCTCCTCACCTTGCGTGCTCCCTCTCCTCACCTTGCGTGCTCCCCTCTCCTCACCTTGCGTGCTCCCCTCTCCTCACCTTGCGTGCTCCCCTCTCCTCACCTTGCGTGCTCCCCTCTCCTCACCTTGCGTGCTCCCCTCTCCTCACCTTGCGTGCTCCCCTCTCCTCACCTTGCGTGCTCCCCTCTCCTCACCTTGCGTGCTCCCTCTCCTCACCTTGCGTGCTCCCCTCTCCTCACCTTGCGTGCTCCCCTCTCCTCACCTTGCGTGCTCCCCTCTCCTCACCTTGCGTGCTCCCCTCTCCTCACCTTGCGTGCTCCCTCTCCTCACCTTGCGTGCTCCCTCTCCTCACCTTGCGTGCTCCCTTCTCCTCACCTTGCGTTCTCCCCTCTCCTCACCTTGCGTGCTCCCCTCTCCTCACCTTGCGTGCTCCCCTCTCCTCACCTTGCGTGCTCCTCTATCCTCACCTTGCGTGCTCCTCTATCCTCACCTTGCGTGCTCCTCTATCCTCACCTTGCGTGCTCCTCTCTCCTCACCTTGAGGCCTCCTCTCTCCTCACCTTGCGTGCTCCTCTCTCCTCACCTTGCGTGCGCCTCTCTCCTCACAATACATGCGACCATACTGGATTAAAGGGAGGGACCGTCTCCTTGCGACGCTTCGTGAAATGGCTCCGCTACCACCCACTTTCGACGTATGCGGGTCCCTACCACTTCCCACTATCCTGACAGGGGCGCCCACGTTTCCTCACTCGGGAATCCCGTGCACACGCACACGTTTCTCCTCCCAGCGCGCGCACCTGCCTGGTAAGCCCGCGCGAGATCCTCTCGCCTCCCGCGTGCGCTCTTCTCGCCACTCGCGCGGCATCCTATCGCCCCCCCGCACGCGCTCCTCTTGCCTCCCCGCGCGTCCTCCTCTCACCATCCCTAGCGTGCTCCTCTCGCCTCCCCTCACGTGCTCCTCTCTCCACACCATGCGTGCACCTCTTTCCTGTACCTCGCGTCCTCCTCTCTCCTCACCTCGCGTCCTCCTCTCTCCTCACCTCGCGTCCTCCTCTCTCCTCACCTCGCGTCCTCCCCTCTCCTCACCTCACGTCCTCCTCTCTCCTCACCTCACGTCCTCCTCTCTCCTCACCTCGCGTCCTCCTCTCTCCTCACCTCGCGTCCTCCTCTCTTCTCACCTTGCGTCCTCCTTTCAACTCACCGCACGTCCACCTTTCTACTCACATTGCGTCCTCCTTTCCTCCAAATCACCAACAGTGAGGATCTAGGAGGCGTGAGGGACTTCACCTTCTCTCTCCACGCTGCCTCCGCGTCTCGCGACAGCCTCCGTTGGCGTCGCTGATCGCGTCTTTTGCCCTCACCCCCGCCCACACTCTTGCAACGGCGGTGCTTCCGCAGTCCCCCTGCACGCCCGCAGAAAACCCTCGTTGCACGCCCTCTATTTCCCACATGTACGCCCTCGCTCCCCCTCTGCTCCTCTTGTCCCCCTATGCTCATCTTACCCCCTTCCGCTGGTCCTTCTCCTTTCTGCACCACTTCCAACCCGAAGCTCCGCTGTTCCCCCTATGCCCCTCTTTTTCCGCCCAGCTCCACTTTTCTCCTGTGAGGCTCCTTCGCTCTCTGCTCCTCTTTCCCTCCTCTGCTCCTCTTGTCCCCCTCTACTCATCTTTGCCCCCTCACTCCCTTCCATCCCACTCAACTGTCACCCTCCCTCCCTGTTTATCACCCTATTTTTTGCCTCGCATCCCAAATGTTCTGACACCACCCTCCTCACAGCTTCCCCACATTGGGATTCCCACCTCATTATTCATAGTTTCTGAGTATTCTGTCTTCAAATCTGACATCCATCACTAGCCATCCACAGCACCTTGACATCAATTCTGCAATTCCCTCCCTCCCATCCGCACTTCCCCCGTCCCCTACTACGCCAGCTCACTCGCCCCGATCTTCTGTTGCTACTCAAGCGCCCGTGCACCCGACGCCGGTTCTTTAGATGGGAGCCCTCCCCCCTTCCATCTCTGCACCCCTACCTTCCCAACCCCCAGCCGTCCCATTTCAAGAACCTATTACACAGTCTCCATCCCTAATCTTCCTGCCCACACAGGTTCAATATGGTCCCTCGGTTGATGCTTCATTCCTCTCGTGCTCTCCCTGCCTTATCTTTCCTCCAAATCACAGCCCCTTAACACTACATTCCATCACCCCTATTAGCCGTCCCATTGCCCTTTTCCACACTGAACCATCACTCTCCCTTTCCTACTTCTCTCACATTAGTTTAGGGGTTTAGGGTCCCCGCGTCCAACAAGCTCATACGCGAGCACCCTCACCGCCTTCCCATGTTGGAAATCCCCCTGCATTATACCGAGTTGCCGTGGGTGCCATTCTAGCTCCCATGCCGTCCCCTTTCTGGGTTGCCCATCCTCAATCCCTTCCATCCCACCTCTCCTCTCTTCCATCGCAGCACCCTCGCATCCTGAGTTTCTGATTAGCCTTACTTCCCATCTGCCATCTCTCCCTTGCCATCCTCCGAACCTCTTTGTAATTAAATCTGCAAACCCCTCTTTCCCATCCGCACTTGCCCCGTCCCCTCCTATTCCTCTCCCGTCACCGGCGCACACATAGTACCACTATTCCTCTCACTTCTCCTCTTTCCCATCCGCAATTGCCCCGTCCCCTCCCATTCCTCTCTCTTCCCCTTTCTTCCTTTGCTTCACAGCGGCCTGTGAACCCGGCTTCAGTCCTTGCGCTGTAAGTCCACGCCCCTTTATTTCCCAGCACCCCTACCTTCACTCGTGGTTTTGGTTTGGCACCCCTTTCTTCCTTTGCTACGCTGCTCCAAACCTTATCAGAGTTCGTTCTCATGGTCCTCCGATCCGGAGGACCAACTATACGGTCTCCTTCCCTCGTCCAGCTGCCGGACCTGTCGTGCAGTTCCTGACCTGCCCACCCTCCCCTTCACATCCAACTCACTTCAGTGACTTGCGTAATCCGAAACCGAAGCCCCCCCGCCCCCTCCCCTTTCACTCCCTAACCCCTCTCTCTCTCTTGTTTTTCTGCCTGATATTCTCGTTTCTCACACTCTAAACCACACACCTCATCAGCCATGTCATCATGGCGACGTACTCCTCGGAGACGGCTGACGCTTGGATTCAGGGTTGGGGAGGAGGGTTCCGAGGATGAGGAGGAGGAGAGGGGTCGGCGACGTGGACCGGAGTCGATGGTCACGGCAAGTACGGGCACCCTCTCCGCCCATACTCGTTCGGTTGCCGCGAGCACAACGCATCCCTTTCCCAGAGTTCGATCTCGAAGAGTTGTGCAACCAACGGGACTACCCCCACAGGTTCAATATGCAAAAGAACGGTGGTCCATATCTGAGTTTGAGGCGCGATATGCCAAGCAATATCGTGTTCTTGACGCTTGGGCGCGACATTGGCTCGGATTGTCGGACGAGGAGGGCCCCGGGAGTCAGAGAATTAGTGTGGCGAGCATTCTGAGGGTGTGCTTGGGAAAAAACACGGATGAGGATATGGATGGTCAACCTATGGGGGCAAAGAACCATCGTTTTCGTTGCTACATTCAATACTCTGCCTTGTTAGGTGATCATCAGTATGCACAGGTGACTTTGCCATGGCTAATTCACGTCGTGATCGGCTCGCTTTACCCCGAGCCAACGGGCGTGGGTTACAGAAAATGTAGTCAAGGCGATGTGGACTGGTTCAACCTGGAATGGGTCATCCCTGACGAGATTGATTTTGGGATGAGGTCAATCGATGCTAGACAATCGTCAATTGTCCACCTGGCGACTCAGGAGTCTGGAATTTACTGATTTTTAGTGCGGGAGGGAGGGTTATCGGGAACAACTTATTGTATTTACATGTGTTACTCTTTTTACACAGTCCGCAATAGTGTGATAGGTAGATGGATGACCATCACAGCAAAGCGACAACCAGATCAATGAAGTAGCCCTTTGTGTGCAGTCAAGTATGTTACTGGATGGGGAAGGGAATGTTTCAATTCCCAGCTTCTAGCCATGGGGGAGCGAGTAGAGCATACAGTGGCGACGCCGCTGTCGCTTATTATGGCACAGGCATGAAAGACATTCCATGCTGCACCATTGAAGACAATGCGTCTCCTGGAAGCTGCCGGTGTGTACTGCTTTGTTCGTCACCCTGCCACAGCTTGTGCGGCTATGGCTCATTATTACCCACACGTGAGAGGGATACGGTAAGCTGCGAGAGGAGAAGGGGAAAGACAGGCTGGAAGCAAGTGCTTGTGCAGGGGGAGGGGGGGAGTGGCACGATGTTGGCAGGGAGAGGAGATGGGGGAGAAGAGGTGGTATCGAAGGAAGGAGCCAGTACTGTAGAGACGGAGTTAGGCGAGGAAGGGGTGAGCAGGGAGCAAGGGAAATGGCTGGTGGTGACTTGGCTGATGTGCTGCGCAGCTTGGCCTTGCCCTTGCGGGTCTGAGCACAGATCGAGGCGGGAAGGCCGAGAGAGGTGGAGAGACGTGGAGAAAGGTGATCGGGAAACAAGAATGCTTAAATTGGTGCAGAGTGCTAGGGTCAGCGCTGACTGTACATTTTGAAGTGCCTTTCAGTGTAGTGCGTGCGGTGCGGACAGGGCGGCCACGGCGGGCATTCCGTGCACTACGGACAGCATGAGCAATGCAGAGCAGACAGGGCAATGACTCACCTCCCTGGCGAGGTCTCGGCCACTCTCTTTACAGATCTGCAGCATGCTCTCCGTTGGCTGACATGCAGGGGGAGATGGGAATGTGGGACGGAAGAGAGGATGGGACGGGGAAGAGAGGACGGGCAGGCAAGAGAGGATGGGACAGGAGGGATGGGCGGAACAGAAGAAATGGGTGTGCTCCCCTCTCCCGGATCGGTTAAAAATTGACGGAGAAATGGGAACCGGGAGCGAAAGCATTATTCGAGATGGGGGGAAGAGACTTTAGGAATGAAGTGCAGAATTCAGGATGGTTGAGAGGGAACTGAATCCCTCAAGAGTCGAGTGGGAAGGGATTCAAGGCAGGTCGGGGGAGGGTGGAAAGGACAAGAATCCAGGGCAGAGCGGGGGGCGACAGAATTCCGGGCAGTGCGACGGGGAAGAGAATTCAGCGAATAGGGACAGAAATATGATTTAGGGTTGGTGAGAGATAATAGGCAGAATAGAAGTGCAGGTGGCAGGGGGGACGGGATCGTTTTAGTCTTGGCAGTGCCGCGGGGGAAACAAGCATCAGGCCCACAGGGCTGGGAGGGGGAGGGAAGTTTTTGGTGGAACGATATTCATTCGCCTGGGGATCCGGTGTTTAAACGCAGCACGCATGTTTCGCACTAGCATCTAACTAGGTTCTTACCTTCACCCGGCAGGACGGTTGCTGCAGCTTGGTTGCGTTCCCCGCCCCATCCGTTTCCTTCTACTCTTCTAGGCTCGCCATTTTTTCCTCTCTCCCATTTTGGAAACTTAAACTCTACACCTATCAGGGATCTATCTGGCCTCGCTAACAGATCCTCCACCGTTGTGGTCCCTCTCCCCATGCGCTGCCAGAAGGCCTTCGAGTCGGACTCAAGATGCAAATTCACAACTTGGCCAGCGCTCTCTCCCCCAGGACCCGCACCTGTGGCAAAACCATGCAAGCACATCAACGTGTGAGCACAGTATACACTGTACACGACGTGGAGTACACATTACAGCACTGTATCAAGTGACAAATACCCATATTCCCCATGGTTACCTGCGTGTCTTGCTGCCCTCATTAGCCTCTCTGTGACATGTGGCGCAGCTTGCATGTAGACAGATAATATATCGTTATGCGTAGCTACTTTATTGTCAGGCATAAGCACGCTTAGCCCCACACGCAGGTAGCAAACTGGGGATCTGAGTTTCCAGTGGACAGTATAATGACGCTGGTTGAATGCGCTACACACACTCGACACTGGATGGTTCGCCATCGAAGCCTGGATGGGAAGGAGGCAGGGGGGATGAATGGAAATGGAATGGGATGGTAGGTAGGTAGGGAGGCACGGAGGTAGGGTGGAAGGGAGAGTGGGGTGCATGTTGTCATGACTGGAGTGCAGTGGGAGACCTAAGGTGAACGCAGCGAGAAAAGCAGGTGGAGGGATGGGGCCATGGGCGAAAGGAAGGGAAGTAAGGAGGATGAGAGGGCGGGAGGATGAGAGGAAGGGCGGATGAGAGGAAAGGAGGATGAGAGGAAGGGCGGATGAGAGGAAGGTTGGATGAGAGGAAGGGCGGATGAGGGGGCGGGCGGAAGAAGGGGAGGGAGGACGAGAGGAAGGGAGGACGAGAGGAAGGGCGGATGAGAGGGAGAGAGGATGAGAGGTAGAGAGGATGAGAGAGAGAAGGGCGGATGAGAGGAAGGGAGGATGAGAGGAAAGGAGGATGAGATGAAGGGAGGATGAGAGGATGGGCGGATGAGAGGAAGGGCGGATGAGGGGGAGGTCGGAAGAAGGGGAGGGAGGACGAGAGGAAGGGAGGACGAGAGGAAGGGCGGATGAAAGGGCGGGAGGATGAGAGAGAGAAGGGCGGATGAGAGGAAGGGAGGATGAGAGGAAAGGAGGATGAGATGAAGGGAGGATGAGAGGGAGGGCGGATGAGAGGGAGAGAGGATGAGAGGAGAGGAGGATGAGAGGAAGGGAGGATGAGAGGAAGGGAGGATGAGAGGATGGGTGGATTTCATGAAGGGAGGATGAGATGGAGAGAGGATGAGAGGGAGAGAGGATGAGAGGGCGAGCCCTTGAGAGAAGGGCGGATGAGAGGGCGGGAGGATGAGAGAGAGAAGGGCGGATGAGAGGAAGGGAGGATGAGAGGAAGAGAGGATGTGAGGAAGGGTAGGATGAGAGGAGAGGAGGATGAGAGGAAGGGAGGATGAGAGGAAGGGAGGATGAGAGTATGGGTGGATGAGATGAAGGGAGGATGAGATGAAGGGAGGATGAGAGGGAGGGCGGATGAGAGGGCGAGAGGATGAGAGAAGGGCGGATGAGAGGGCGGGAGGATGAGAGGAAAGGAGGATGAGAGGAAGGGCGGATAAGAGGAAGGGAGGATGAGATGAAGGGAGGATGAGAGGGAGGGCGGATGAGGGGGAGGGCGGAAGACGGGGAGGGAGGACGAGAGGAAGGAAGGTCGAGACGCAGGGCGGATGAGAGGGAGAGAGGATGAGAGGGAGACAGGATGAGAGAAGGGAGGATGAGAGGAAGGGTGGATGAGAGGAAAGGAGGATGAGAGGAAGGGCGGATAAGAGGAAGGGAGGATGAGATGAAGGGAGGATGAGAGGATGGAGAGGTGGAGGAAGGGCGGATGAGGGGGAGGGAGGACTCGAGGGAAATGAGTGCGACGGGAAGGGAAATGAGGGCGACGGGAAGGGTAATGTTTGCGACGGGAAGGGTAATGGGGGGTGACGGGAAGGGAAATGAGGGCGACGGGAAGGGAAATGAGTGCGACGGGAAGGGAAATGAGGGCGACGGGACGGGAAATGAGGGCGACGGGAAGGGAAATAAGTGCGCCGGGTCGGGAAATGAGTGCGACGGGAAGGGAATTGAGGGCGACGGGAAGGGAAATGGGGGCGTCGGGAAGGGAAATGAGGGCGACGGGAAGGGAAACGAGGGCGACGGGACGGGAAATGAGGGCGACGGGAAGATGGAATGAGGGCGACGGGAAGATGGAATGAGGGCGACGGGAAGATGGAATGAGGGCGACGGGAAGATGGAATGAGGGCGACGGGAAGATGGAATGAGGGCGACGGGAAGATGGAATGAGGGCGACGGGAAGATGGAATGAGGGCGACGGGAAGATGGAATGAGGGCGACGGGAAGATGGAATGAGGGCGACGGGAAGATGGAATGAGGGCGACGGGAAGCTTCTCACCATGCGATATGTGAAAGGCAGGCGCGACCAAATGGCGGGGAGGGGATTTCCCGGGCAGGGCGGGAGGCAAGATGCTGAGGCTGTCTCTAGCGCGTTTGTTTCTAATCGGCTCCGACGCGCGGCGTAAGATGGCTACGCATTGCAGACGATGGATACGTCCGCCCTGTGACCTATGGGAAGCGAGCGTGGTCGAGTGTTTGTGTATTAGCCTATACTTTTAGACTCTCTGAATAAATCGCCAGTTCAGGCCTCGATGTGTCTCGCTAACTCACGCCCGCACTGGCATTTAGTAACAGCCTCCTCTATCCTCACCCTAAGCATCGCACTTTGCTGGTCCAGTCCACACGGACATTCGCTCCCTACGGCTATTCCGCGTATTTCTAGAATCTAAGGTGGCGCCCTGCTGAAGTGGACTAAGCAACTAATATGTTTGTTCGAGTGCATGTGTGGCTGCTCAAACTGTGCACAGTTTCCCTGGCACGTTGCTTCTCAGGTTTGTCGAGTTTGGGAAGAAGGGCCCTGCCTGCTTTTTACAACCAATCAGCATGTAGGGAGTTTGTGGCGAACTACTTTCAGTCGCTAAGTGTTTTTGAGGCTTCGCCTGTCACTCAACCCATCCGAACCTCCAACTGGCAGCCCGCCGAACCTAGAAATACTCAGTTGACTTCCGTTGAGTAATTCAGGTCTTGGGCTTTAATTCTTGCGGTTTTTCGCTTTTCGCACAACTCCCCCGGCATTCCCGATGGGCCGTAACCTAGATTGGTACTGCACATTTCGCCACACCCAACGGCAAGCTGCTGCAGCGAAAGACTTGGGCGGTTTGCCTTCCACTGTCGAGCCGAACGACTCGTCTGGTATGGGCCACACCCCCCGTGACGACAGGGGAAAGGAGGGTGGATGGAGGGATGTTCGGCCTGACCCCGACTGGGATGGAGTCACGACACCTTCCGCTGGCAATCGGCGTCCTTCCTACCATCGTGTCTGTGGGACATTCTGTCAATTGCCTGCCTTGAACCTCTGGCCGCCAATTGCCGGGCAGAAGGAATCACCTGAGCTGATTATTTCGTCAAATAGACGGAACCACGAAACAGAATTTGCAATCCCCGAGGCGTCTCCGTCATTAGGTCACGGGAAAACTGCTCTTTCATCAAGCCTCTTAGCAGATCGAGCATTTTGCAGATACAGACATTCCGACGGGCCGACGGATTTCAAGGCACGAGACGGAGACGCACTGACAGCATCTGTCGGCTGTAATTCGCTTCGCGCGTCTTTCTGGCTTCTTCCTCCAACCACACAGCGAGTTGATAACTGCTGGGAAACGACGCTAAATGGCATTCAGCGGTGCTCCTCCAACAGCACCACTACTAGAAATTCATAACTGGCCAGACCAGCTACGGTACCTTCAAGTATCACTCGGTAGTAGTACCTCGTGTTTTCGTGCGAGTACATTCTCACGGACGTCAAAGCAGTACTCTCCTCATCGCTGACCTTGTGATGACAATGTCTGAGGTAGAGACGGCTCAAGAGGTTCATGATAATCAGGCTTCAAGTGTCTGCAGTGATGAAAGTGCCACTCTCAGTGACACTGACTCTGGGAGCGACGTGATCCTAGTTCAGCAGCAGTATGATGTTTCTCAGATGATGTACAGCCCTCATACTGTGTGGGTCGTTGACCCGTCGGCATTATCTGATCAGAACGCACTCTCATTCATGCAGTCATTCCAGGGTTACTCAGCAGAACAGATCGCGTCCCTCTATCAGCAGTATCACGCGTTGAGTGCTTATGCTGCCGTTCTCCACCAGCCATACCTTGGCACGATCACCAGTTTTGGTGATTCGTGTCAAAATGCTACTTCAGAACTTCAGTCGGACGTCAATCAGCAGAACATGATGGACATTGAGGCAATGTTACAGCGCCTCAATCCAAATGCGGAGGAGTATGTCCCATCGACAGTGCAGCACAGGCCGACTGCTATTGTTCGGACTATTCCATCCAGATACGCTTCTTTTAAGAGGAATTCCATGCAGAAGGTGAGTCTCAATTTCTAAACCGTCTCGTTTTTCTGATCATCCGACTTCTGAAACATCTGGACCCTCTAATTTGAAATAATTCTCTTTCATACTTCGCAGCCGCAGAAAGTTCCTGCTTGTGCCGAACGTTGGCGACGACAGCCGAGAACGTCACAAATTTCCACCGAAGAATCCATCAAGAGGACCGTTTATGTCTCTGACATTGATCAGCAGGTATTGACACCGTCCTTTTTTTCACGGGGGACATGTCTGACTCCTTCAGCCGTTATTTTTGTGTGGTATCACGTGACTCCTTCCAACATACTGTTCTCAGTAACCTTTGGTCGTCTCTTGTCCTCTTCCCTATGCAGGTTACAGAAGAACAACTTGCTACACTTTTCTTGTCCTGCGGTCAGGTATAACACTCGTGTTTTTCTTCATTCATCATCAAAGCATTTTTTTTATTTCAACTGAAACGCTTTATGTGACTCCTTGTCGCAGGTCATTGATTGTCGAATCTGTGGAGACCCCAATTCTATCCTTCGATTTGCTTTTGTAGAATTCACAAATGAAGGTAAGTCATGCTCCAGCATGTTTCGCAGAGTGCTACTAACAGCTCGCAACCTTTTTTAACGCTACTTCTCGTTGTGTTGCTTGTGGGTTTTTATGTTGCAGAAGGAGCAAAAAAAGCCCTGACTGTAGCAGGAACCATGCTGGGTTACTACCCACTCCGCGTCTTACCTTCAAAGACTGCCATTCTGCCAGTTAACCCCAACTATCTGCCCAAGGTACAAACAAGACTGCCCGCTTCAGCCTTTGCTGAGTTTGTCGCCTCTTTGCTTAGAAAATTTACTCACATGTCTCTCCCCTTGCTATGTTCAGAGCCAGGGCGAGAAGGAAATGTGTGCTCGCACTATCTACTGTACAAACATTGATAAGAAGGTGAGCTGTACTTGGATTGTTTCCCATGTTCATGGTGTATGCGATGAATGAAATTCACTGACGCCCTTTTGTCTTTGCAGGTTGCTCATTCTGATGTGAAGCTGTTCTTTGAGTCACTCTGTGGAGAGGTATGTGTGCAAGCTATGATGGAATAGCTACCTAACGTCATCATTATCCTCTTCTATTCTAACATGGCTCATTTTTTCATTGACAGGTTTCACGTCTTCGGTTGCTTGGAGACTCCCAGCACTCCACTAGGATTGCCTTTGTGGAGTTCGTGATCGTAAGTCTTTTTCTTGCCAGGGGGGGGGGTCAAGCATTGTCCCTGTGGTAAGTTTCCAGAAGCATGGCGTTGTCTGCAATCTTCTAACATCACTACCATCTGTTTGCAGGCGGAGAGTGCAATGGCTGCGTTGAATTGCAGTGGAGCTATATTGGGTAGCCTGCCAATTAGGTACGGAGCTGCACTACTTACTGTAATATGCTGCAGCAATATTCTCGTGAAGTCTTCCTAACTATGGTCATTCCTCCATCTGTTTCCAGGGTCAGCCCCTCCAAGACGCCCTTGAGGCCAAAAGGGTCTCGGCACCATCTCCTGCGTTAGTTACGAGTGCTCAGCTGCTCCTGCTAACTCTCTTTTAGTGTACATAAGTTTTGCATATGTATGCTGTGCTTGCTGCATAAGTTTCAACTACTGGTACCTATTTCTTAGCGTAAGCTACGGTAATGAACTCTCTGCTGTAGTAATTGTTTGGTACGGATCAGCTTGTCTTCCATAGCCATCAAGAAGTGCACTGGCAATGAAAGCTTCTACAATATCTATACAAATTACATTCTTCAGAAATTCATGAGCACATATGCACTATATTCGAAGACAAAATATGCAAGGTACAGTTGTTGGGAGGGAGTGTAAACATGAAGTTGCTTCATGAGCTCCACGTGGTTAGCCACGTGGTTGATTCTCTGAAGTCGCAATTTCCAAGCTTCCTCCTTTCGGGCTTGAAATGACGGACGCCACATCATGCTCATGCGGCAAAATCTTTCTGTGGGGACCACCGGTCCACAATGCACAGATTTCATCGGCAATGTTTCTGCGGGATGAGGTTAGGAGAATGGCTCAATCCATGAATTTACTATTTCAGATTCAGCCATGGCTGGTTCATTTTCTGAAAGGTGCAGCTCCAGAAGCAGATTTAGACAACGTTTCGCCGGCTTTCAACGCCTTTTTTGTGGCGTTGCGTGTAACTCCTTGGCAATTCTCCTCCCTTTTGTAGTGTCAATAGCCTGGGTTTCATTTTCTGCGCTTTACTTCGGTGTGGCTCAGGCGCAGATAAGTCAGGGCAGTGCCGCTTCAGCGTTTGTGACCACCGCGGATTTGGCAGCCATGGCGGAGCTCAAAGTCAGCAAGCCCGCGCTAGCGACGACGCCGCTAAGCCTTCCGAATAGGATTCTCATGGGTACGCTTATCCGAAACATTTTTACATGCCTAACATTTGAGCATCCATTCGAACTTTCGTTGTAATTGTTGTTCGCCGATGGAATGGCATCAGAGTTACCAATTAGTCCACTCCAACGTCAGTTCCACAATGACGTTCTTCTGTGACAGTGAACCGCGATTCGGATGACAATTTTGTGCGTGAAATTTGTTCATGGCGTGGGGTGAATTGTGTTTTCAACCTTGTGCGTGAATTTTGTTCAGGTCCTGGCCCGGCAACTCCCCACCCTCGAGTCCTTGCCGCCGCTTCCCTGCCTCTCGTCGGCCACGTGAGTTATTTCTCCTTGTGCGACATCTTGAAATGTAATTCCTCGTGGGTATATTTTCCGTTCTTATTTCTGACGCCGCACAGAAATCCATTGGTTCCTGCCAGTCATGGATGAGGTCAATACGTGGCTGCGGCTCGAAATGTCATCTGGCCCAGTCTTGAAATTTCGTTCCAGTGCATCCCCAATGTCAATCCTGGTACGTTCCAACTTCCTCTTTGTCATTCCCGTCGTAACAGATGCATTCGGAGTTCCTTGCGGTGAGAAGAGGTGAAGGCGTGGCTGCAGTACACCTTCCAAACGCAACCAGTACTGAATCACGTGGCCGTTTGTCACCATCATCCCCCCTCCTCCCCCCCGTCACAGATGCATCCGGAGTTCCTCACCGTAATGGACGAGGTGAAGACGTGGCTGCAATACACCTTCCAGACGCAGAACCCGTTCACAATCGCCGTCAGCGGCTCCGGCCACGCCGCCATGGAGGCTGCTGTCGCCTCTGTGAGTCGCAGACGCTTATCTTGGGCGCTTCGGGGAGGCTCGGGGGGCTGGGGGGGGCTCAGGGGGGTGGGAGGAGTAAACCGGGGGCGGCTGGGGGGCGGGCGAGGGGGGGGGACTGGCGGGGTCTCGGGGGTTCAGAGTGCGTAGGACTTGCGGAGGGTGGAGCACTCGAGGGGAGAAGGCTCGGGGCCTGATTAGCATGTGCTGGTTTGGGCTTTTGGTAGAGAACAATGTATCGGGAAGTGCCGTCACCTTTTGGGGTGTTTTTTTTTGTTTTTCATCAATGAGTATATACCTCTTTCCCATACATCAGGTTGTGGAGCCTGGCGACGTGGTGTTGGTGGGGTGAACGGCATCTGGGGCGAGCGCATGACGATCCTGGCAGCTTATTTGTTGAGGCGCCTCAGAAGCTTATCTCTCTCTATCTTTCCCTCTCCCCTGCATCAGGTGGTGGAGCCTGGCGATGTGGTGTTGGTGGGGGTGAATGGCATCTGGGGCGAGCGCATGATGATCCTGGCAGCGAGGTACGGCGCTGACGTCCGGAAGATGGAGGCAGAACCGGGGAAGGTGTTTTCCGCTGCTGACGTGGAGAAGGCTCTGGCGGATAACCCAGGCGTGAAGGTGGTGTTTGTGGTGCACGGCGAGTCCAGCACGGGAACGCTGCAGCCTCTGGAAGGACTGGGGGAGCTCTGTCATAAGAACGGTGAGAGGGTGTGCTTGTAACGGATCTGCTGTTGAGTGGTTTGCTTGCGTGTGGTGGGAAGGCAGGGCGTGAAGGTGGTGTTTGTGGTGCACGGCGAGTCCAGCACGGGGACGCTGCATGGAAGGGTTGGGAGAGCTCTGCCATAAGAATGGTGAGAGCATGCATGCCTTTGGAGCAGATTTGCCTGCAACGGGGAATTTGGGAGTGAAGGTGGTCTATGTGGTGCACGGCTAGTCGAGCACAGGGACGCTGCAGCCTCTGGAAGGAATGGGAGAGCTCTGCCATAAGAATGGTGAGCGCATGCATGCCTTTGGAACAGATTTGTGATGTTGAATGACTCTGGCGGATAACGCGGGTGTGAAGGTGGTGCTTGTGGTGCACGGCGAGTCAAGAACGGGGACGCTGCAGCCCCTGGAATGATTGGGAAGAGCTCTGCTATAAGCTCGGTGAGAGAATTCTCTTTGAAACGGGTCTGCTGGCTCCGGGTTTGCTTGTGTGTGTGGTGGGGAAGTTAAGAAGTGAAGGTGGTGTTTGTGGTGCACGGCGAGTCGAGCAGGGCAACACTGCAGCCTCTTGAAGGATTCGGAGAGTTCTGGCATAAGAACGGTGAGAGCATGGCCTTAGAGCAGGTTTGCCTGCAATGGGATGCTGGGATTGAAGGTGGTGTTTGTGGTGCACGGCGAGTCGAGCACGGGCACGCTGCGGCCGCTGGAAGGACTGGGCGAACTCTGCCATAAGCACGGTGAGAGCATGGCGTTAGAGCAGGTTTGCCTGCAACGGGGAATTTGGGAGTGAAGGTGGTCTATGTGGTGCACGGGGAGTCGAGCACAGGGACGCTGCAGCCTCCGGAAGGACTGGGAGAGCTCTTCTATAAGCACGGTGATAGCGTGGCCTTGAAGCAGGTGTGCCTGCAACAGGGAGTTTGGGAGTGAAGGTGGTGCTTTGTTGTGCATGGCTAGTCGATCACGGGGACACTAGGAAGTATCTCTGCACGTGGATGCATTGGCCGCGGAGGAAACCAAAGCGCCATTCACAGCGGTTCCAAGAAGTGCCTCTCACTCTCTTGTTATGCCCCCCACGGCTTTCTGCACCCTCCCAGGCGCACTTCTATTCGTGGATGCAGTGTGCACGCTTGGAGGGATCCCTCTGCACGTGGACGCATGGGGCGTGGACGCCATTTACAGCGGCTCCCAGAAGTGCTTGTCTGCGCCTGTTGCCCCGTCACCCCTCTCTCTCAGCGAGAGAGCCCGTGCAAAGCTCGCCAACCGCTCCACGCCTGTGAGTCTGGGATAAGGGCAGTGACTGAAAGGGAGTGGGAAGGGGTGTGGAGGGATGGGAAAGGGTGTGGAGGGATGGGATGGGCTGTTGGGGAGGGATGGATCAGGGTTGGCTGAAGGGGAAAAACAAGGAGTAACAAGGATTGGGCTAAGCTTGCCAAGCGTTCAGCCTCTCTTCGCGCTCCCCGCCCTCCCTTGACTGGCTTTACTCCCTGCCTACCACAGAAACCCCCGTGCTCTTTCCATCCCTATGCCCTTCAGCCCTCTTCTGCTGGTTGCTTGCTGATTGCTGGTTGTTAGCAGTCTCATTTCTACACTTGAGATATGAACTCGTTGGCGCAAGGCATGTGTATTAGCACAATTTCTCTCGATCCCTGTATCTTGAATCTGCTGTGCTTTCTGCAGGTCCAGTCCTACTACTTCGATATGAACCTGGTGAGATTTGAACCCTGTAGGGTGTAGCACATCAGCCTTGAAAGACGCAAGATGTGAACCTCGTAACGCTGCGTTTGGCAACCTAGACCTGCTGTGACATGAACCTGGCATGCAAGACTGCACATTAATTCGTTTCGCAAAATGAAATTGATAAGTCATCGCTTGTAAACTCTGTACAGAGCTTTGAGTGGGTTCATTCAGGACGGGTGGTTTCTCAGCCATGATCCATCTGCTTCTTTTGTCGTTACAGATTCACTTTCAATGAATGCTGGTTTTCCACAACTCCCACAACCTAAACTTTGTGCCCATGCTGCTGATATGATCCGCTTTTTGTGCAGGTTGGGGAGTATTGGGGAGTGGATGGCCAACCCCGCAAGTACCATCACACAGGTACATCAGCTTTTAAAACATTGCGTAGGTACCCTTTATGTATCCGATTATTCAGGGTGCTCGCCTTTTCCTCCCTTTCACCTTCCCACCCTCCTTTCCGCCCCTTGGCACCTTCCTCACCTAGCTGTCCCCCCCTCTCCACCCTCATGCACCCATCTCAACCGTATCAGGCCTGGTGACAAATGTTAACGCCATGAGGGAAGCACTTGCCATGCTGGCCGAGGAGGTGAGTAGCCATGGCCCACCCAAGCAAGTTGTGAACCATTTCGGTATCCTACTGCGCGTATGTACAGCGTCTGACATTTGTTTGAAAGGTTCAGGGGGTTGGTTTAGGACGGGTGGCTCCTGGTGAGGTACAAGCAAACACATCACTGTTAACTGCTGGTTTGGCTGTTCTTGAGTTGACTAGAGTATTGGCTGCCCTGGTTGGGGTACCAGGGACACAGATCGCCTCTGATTGTCTAACTCTACTGCTGGACGATGGCTTGTGGGGTGCCAGCTTTTTTGAGTTTTCATCACTCTCTGCTTCCCATGCGAGCATCTCTGTCCTCCTCGCATGAGTGAGGCCAGGGAAAACACTTCACGTGGGCTGGGAAGTCAGGACTCTTAACATCTCTCTGTTTCTCTCCCTCTCTTTGTTGCTCACGCTGGTGGTTCTGTGTTCTTTTCTGTTTTGCATGACAGGGTCTGGAGAATGTGTGGCAGCGCCATCGCAGCCAGGCCGAGCTGCTGTGGGCGGGGCTGCAGGAGGTGAGGGATCCTCTGGGGTTGAAATGGATTGCTGAATGGTGAAAGGGCTTGCTGAATGGTGAAAGGGCAATGCGACGGCCATTTGTGGGGGAGTGAGATAGATACTGCACTGGTTGGCTGAAAAAAAGGGGCACCGAGATTTACACAGTGGTTCACCTATCTAACTTGATGTGGAATTGCCTTCCTTTCCGTCCACTGATCCGTCCATGAATGCTGCGCTCCTTCCCATCCCACCTTCCCTCAGCCGTCTTCTGCACTCCACTGTAATTGCTGCCAGCTGGCACTGCTCGCCGTCTGTCCATCCCTCCCTGCACCACTCCTCCCCTTTTCTTGTACCCTTGTCCTGCTGTCTATCAGCTGGGTTTGAGCTGATTATGGTGGCTCACAGCTTTTGTCTGCGCTCCTTCCTTTCATCCTTCCTCTTACTATCCCTTCCCCTCTCTCGTACCTCTGCCCCCCTGCGCTCCTTCCTTTCATCCTAGAGCTGTTTGTGGGGAACCACGATTCCCACCCGCCCACCTACCATTTCTCTCTCTACCCTTTCTCTTCCTCCTCAGCTGGGACTGGATCTATTTGTGGAGGACCACGACTCTCGCCTGCCCACCGTGACAACAGTGAAGGTGCCTGAAGGCGTGGAGTGGACTAAAGTCACAGGTGAGTGTGATGCACTTTCCCTGGGAAATAGCCTCTCGTCATGCTTGCTTGTGCCTTGATTCCTAGCGAGAAGAGCCACATTTTTGCTTCTTCAGTTGGAAAACGTGGGCACGCTGTTTTGCTTGCCCGTCCCATGTGCCATTGCATTGCAGGCCATCTGATGTCAAAGTTCAACTTGGAAATAGCTGGAGGACTTGGTCCTACAGTTGGCAAGGTATGTTGTGCATGACACCAAGTTCTTACTTACATCATCCATTGATGCTTTGAAGTGTAGTACGGGTCATGGTTGGTTGGCATAACTTTCTTGTGTTTGTGTTGTGGGAACTAGGTGTGGCGAATTGGTCTCATGGGGAACAATGCTCGCCCAGCAAATGTAGCTCTTCTTTTGGAGGCCCTGAAGGATGCACTTGAGCATGCAGGGTTCACTCCCAAGAAGGCGGCTGCTTAATTAGTAAAGTACTTGGTGCATTTGTAACCACCATGAAATGAGCGTGCTTCAGTAAGCTGGCTCCTCCTTATGACGTATAGCTCTTTATAAATACCTCGTCGTTTTTATTCATAACGAGTTATCCACAATGTGGAGTCGTAACCATTTTGTGTATCTTTGCTGCGCCCAGCTGGCCCGCGCACCGGCCACGCAAGTTTCCATCTCAGTGACATTGCTGCTTGCCCTGCCAGGGCATGGGTGTGTCAGCACAGAAACCAATCATGCGAAACGTCCAGCGATTTCTGCAATTCGCAGTGACTACCTTCTCGTTCGCTAATCCCGCTCTCAACGAATCACGTCATTGTTCCCGTCGCGAATCAAGTTACTAGTCCGAATCGCGCGTCGAGTCGATTTCGTCCCCATTGGAAACATTGCATCCTCCCAGATTTCTTCCTCCACCAGACAAGCAGACAAGTCAAAGAGGTTAGGGGGGCTGTTTCTCTCCTCACTTCAACCTCGAAAGCTCAAACCTCGGGAACTCACAACTGAAGACGTCACACGAACCTTGGGAGCTCAGACCTTGAAAATACACACAGGCTCTAGAAGCCCAAGTCTCGGGAGCTTGCTGTCCTTTATCGTACTGAGCTGTTCCGTGCATCAAACGCGGACCACATTCTTTGCTCCAGCCGACAACCTACTAGGTGACTGCGCGGAGGGGTTCACCAAATCAGAGCTTCCTGGTGCTGAGCTGACTCCGAGGACGCGATTCGAACTTTGAAATCATAGCGCGGGAACGAGGGATTCCCATCACACGCGACGCGGAACGAGGCATCGCTGGCTCCAAATCAGAAATTACATAAAGCGAAGCCTTTCCAAGTCGACGAAGTACAACTGAGCTGTGCAGCAATCCGTCTCTCGTTTCCAACAACCACCTCGATAACTTCGACCGCAACTTCCCTTCCAACTCCCAGCAGCAAAACTCCGCATTTCTCTGCTGACACGTGCTTTGCTGTGTACATACTGTACTTACTTCCCTCCCATTGCTAGCACGCGACGCACCACCAGTGCCAGCGGGTCGAAGCTCTCGGCTCTTGACGCCGTACATACGTCTCGAGCATCTTCTCTAACTGTACATAATTTGCTGACGTCATCCTCAGGCACTCCGGAGCGGGAAAAGATTGTAAAGAACGTCATTCACCGATTCACCTACTTCCATCAGCCTCCCTCGCGTGCCTTGACACCTAAGGACGTTTTTCACGCGCCGCCAATCTCGACCGTATTTGCGGCGCTACTGACGTGGTAGCAAATTTGCCTTCCAGAAGAGCCCTCCGTCAACGCCGTCGGCACTCCCGCGTCTGACTCAATCCTCCCTACCAGAATTCTCCGCCACCCTCGTCTCCGTCCCCTCACACAAGCCTCCGTTCCCGTTCGGCCGGGGGATAGATTCATCGCATCCCAAGCTTCTCCGTAGTGAATCAAGATTGCCACAGCGTAGTCAGCTTGACGCAGCAGAATAATCTCCACAATTGCCTACACGGTTGCAATTCCACCACCTCACCATCTCAGCATCGCGTTCATTCGTTCCCGACGAGTGGCTTCGAATTCGCCTTCTCCTCCACCATCGCCTCTTCGAGTAGTATACACCTCAGCAAGTCCGTTCTCCTCTCCAACTCCGGATCTTTCCTCGACAACTTCGTGTTGCACTCTGCATCTCTCCTCTCCAGCAGATCTGTTGTCGTTCAAGCCGAGACTCCAAGGTGCACTGCTGGTAGTTTCCCGCTGCACCTCCTACGCTAACCGCTACCCGACCGGACTGTGAATATTGTAAATAGACTGGTTGAGAGCTCGTTATACTTGCTCCAGACGAGGATTTAGCTCACGCTATCCTCGCTCTGCTGCCTCCTGTGTTGGGTGGTCCTCGTGCCGCGCTGCACTTCACTCCTTCTTGAGACCTAAGACGCTTCAAGAATCCAGCTTCCGCCGCCATCGCCATGGCTCCTTTGGCTCCTTTGATTGCTTCCGCAACGGCCGCTTCGACGAGGGTTGAGAGGCCAAGCATCTCCACCACGCCTCTGACTCTCCCCAACCTGCTGCTCATGAGTGAGTCCCTCTTTCCCACACTCGATTGTTGAGTGAGTGAGCGAATGAGTGAGTTTTCATGAGCGAGTGAGTGATTGTTGAGTTGTCATGAGTGAATGAGTGAGTGGTCACAAGTGAGCGAGTGGGTGAATGAGTGGGTGAGTGAGTGAGTGAGTGGGTGCTCACGAGTGAGTGGGGTGTTCATGAGTGAGTGGGGTGTTCACAAGTTAGTTCTCACAAGTTAGTGTTGGTTCTACTCTAACATCACTACTCTTACGCTCCCTAATCTTCTGCTTATGAGTGAACCCGTGTCTCTCATTCACATTACAGACTCACAAACCCCTCCCTCCTTCCCCCTTCACCTCTCACCCTTCTCACCTCTCACCTTCTACCTCCTCTCTCCTGCCCCCTCCCTCATCAACCTTACCCCTCCACAGGTCCTGGCCCATCGTCTCCCCACCCACGTGTCCTCGCTGCTGTTGGGTCGCCAAATTTGGAGTCCAGTAAATAATAGCCACTCTCTCTTACCCCCTCCCTCATCAATCTTACCCCCCACAGGTCCTGGCCCATCGTCTCCCCATCCACGCGTCCTCGCTGCTGCTGGTTCGCCCCTTGTTGGCCATGTAAGCATTTCCATGTTAGGTGTCAGGCCCTGGCATTTCCATGCTCAGGACTTCCTTCATTTGCGAGCGTGATGTTTCTTGAGACACATGCTTATCCACTGATGCACCTCACCTCCACCATTCACCGCGTCCTTATACCTCCATCTTTCACCCTCGTCGCCCATCCATGGCGTCCCCCTGCTACAGATGCACCCCTCGCTGCTCGGTGCCGTGGATGACGTGCGCGAGTGGCTCAAGTACGTCTTTCAGACGCGCAACCGCTTTACGCTCGGCGTCAGCGGCTCGGGACACGCCGCCATGGAATCTGCAGTGAACGCCGTGAGTGAACTCTCGTCAATCTTCGCAAATTCTCGCGAATTATCGTAGATTTTCGCGAAATTTTGCAACTCTTGTCAACTATAACCCTCGCTAACGGCTCCTCCCTGCTTCTCTCCTCTCGCTATTGTCACACCTCGGGTTCTGGCTTCCTAAACTCTCCTCCTGCTATTGTCACATTATCTCAGGTTGTGGCACCTGGGGACGTCGTGCTGGTCGCGGTCAACGGCATGTGGGGCGAGCGAATGGCGCTGCTCGCGCGGCGACACGGCGGCGACGTGCGAACGATCCAGGCGCCACTGGGGGAGGTGTTTTTCCTCTCCGACTTCGCGCACGCTCTCGAGGAGAACCCGGGAGTCTCGGCGGTTTTTGTGGTGCACGGCGAGTCGAGCACAGGGACGCTGCAGCCGCTGGAAGGATTGGGGGAACTCTGCCACAAGCACGGTAAGGGGACGCGCTTGAAACGGGTCGTCCTGTAACGCGGAGTCGCGGCCTCGTCTGTTTGTGATGGGGGTTTGGGGGAGTCGCGGTCGTTCTGAATATCTAGACGAGCCATTCTTGAGGCGCCTCAGAAGCCAGCACGAAAGTCGCTCTGAATTCCTGAGCCTGCGTTCGATCTAATGCTGCGTGAAGCAGCAGTCTCGCGCGTCACATGGCGAAGACTCCTCGACAGAGCGCTTAGGAGAAATTAGGGATTTCGAGAGTAGACCCCTATCCTGTGGTTCCCAGCTCCTATTTGCAGCTGCGGTGAACGGGCCACCCCGCGTGCCTCGGCGCAAAAGCCAGATCTAAAAAGCTCCTCTCCCCGTTCCCCCGCAATTTCCCCTGCGATGTTCCCTTTCCTCGCCGCCAGGTGCGCTCCTGGTGGTGGATGCGATTTGCACGGCGGGAGGAGTGCCTGTTCTGATGGACGAATGGGATATCGATGTGTGTTACAGCGGGTACGTGGTACACTGCTATACATAGAAGTCAAATGAAATGTTTATTCTAAATCTGATGTGATTGTGATCCACTTAATATGATGCTATAAGCATGAATTTATTTGTGTTTTTATATGTGCATTTCAGGTCTCAAAAGTGTCTGTCATCGCTTGTATCACCGTCGCCGTTCTCCATGAATGAGCGTGCAAGACAGAAGCTCAAGAGCAAGGCGCACCAGATCCAAACGTACTACTTCGATATGAACGTGGTAAGATACTATTAGTACTCTCGCATACTTTCTAGGCTATTCCGTAACAAGCTCTTTCTGTTTTGTTATGACTTGGGGCACTCACCCATGCCAAGCAAGCGATTTACAGAGTTTTGCATAACTGGTGCTCTGAGTCCATGCCTTATTTGTGTATTTATCTTACAACAGGCTGGGGCTTTCTGGGGCGTGGATGGCAAACCACATGTGTACCACCATACATGTAAGTACCATCACATGTATCTTAGCCCCGAATAATAGTATTTGTATCATGGACTTCATCCTTCGCCATTCTCCCCTCCATCACATTTGATTCCAAAGCAGCCATTGGCAACTACAACATGGTTTGGTTCTCCTGTGCCTCAAAACGCGAGCCTCGCCAATTGACTTGCCGTTCTTTTCTCATCGCGACTGATCCCAACGCAGCTCTCGGCAGCAACATAATGGCTATCAGGGAGGCGCTAGCTTTGGTGGTGGACGAAGGGCTAGAGAGCGTGTGGAACCGCCACCGCTCCCTGGCTGATAAACTCTGCGCTGGTATTGAGGAGGTGAGCTATGGAGGGAGGGGTGCAAGTAGCCCTTGTGCTAATGGTGGTGGTG